AGTACATCAACATTGGAATGATAACCACTGGAGTCAAATTCTCTTTACGGACGAGAGCCGTTTCTGTGTAAATTACATCGACGGTAGAGAAAGATTGTATTAACGCCAAGGAGAACGAAATGCCCCTTTCAATTTTACTACGACCGTACCTTTTGGTGGAGGTTCAATTATGGTGTGGGGCGGTATATGTTTGGGAGCAATAACAGAGTTAGTGGTGATTGATGGTGGAGCATTAACAGCAGATAAGTATATCAGAGATATTCTCCAAGACCATGTGGTACCTTTTTTACCATATATTGGCGAAAATTTTATTTTATAGTTGAAGAGTGTAAGTGTAAGATATTTCTTATTACAAGTGGGTATAACAACGATGAATTGGCCAGCTTGTTCCCCAGACCTAAACCCGATAGAGGATATGTGGGACATGCTAGGCAGAAAACTTAGAGCACGGGTTTCTGCTATTCAAAACAGAGAAGAAGTCACAATTGCAAAAGATTGAGGAATGGGAGAGGCTGCCCAACAACTGATCGATAGCGTTATCAGAAGTATGAGAAGACGAATAAATGCAGTTGTAAGGGCTCGTAGGGGAAACACACGCTATTAAAGCCAAAAAAATGCATAAAAAAACAATTTAAGTTCAAACTGTACAATAAAGTTAATGCATTTAAAATCCGTATTTTGTTGAGTCTGACATCTTTGTGTTTTATTTCTTCTTAAACAGGTTTTATATTGTACTACCATTGTAATATAAATTCAAAATACTTCACCAACATTCGTATTATGATATTATCTAAACAGTATATAGACTAGAGAGAAAATACTCAGATTTTATGGTTGTTCCTTTAAATATGCTGGTGAAACTAAGAAGAAAATGAGCATTTATTAATGAAAAACATGGCTAGTTGTTAACGTACCTAACTTTTTTATTATCCAACACAAGCAAATGAATCAAAAAAGAAAATGTTAAGAAAGCCTGAGACTATAATTGAGCTTTAATTTCAATATTTTATATATGCTAGAATATTCCACAGGGTGTTTCGAACTTTAAGGAAAAAACACAGTATGATTGTTACACCCGGTATAAAATGACGTTGACCTGTCTAGCAACAATATTATTTCATTGATATTCTTAAATAATATGCCTATAACATACTAAAAAAATCACTAAAATCGGACAACAGGTTTAGGAAATTCGAGTCATCTAACATGTCCCATTTTTAAGGTGTTCCGTTAATTTTGCCGGTGAGTGTAGTTTAATAATAATAGTAATGAAATCTATAAATTTATATTTTTAATACATATACCACCAAATTTCCATCAATAATGAATACTCTAACTTTAAATTGTAATGATTATACCAACGAAAAGAGTGAAAATACTAACAGTGAATAGATAGTCTACTAACCTACTAGAAAGAGTATTTCTATAACTTCGGCATTCAATCCAAGAAATATCAGGAAGTAAAATGGAAATTTATCCTAACGGAGTAAATTCCTAGTATATTAATATTTGACGATAAAACAATATAGTACTTTCTACTGTTAATTGTGTACACAGTAACCTGACAGGCGAGAGATAATGGGAGTATTACACTATATCCTTATACATAAATTTATTATTAATCAAAATGACTGGTAATTATTATTAAATAAAGTTATTCGCAATGATTAAAAAATAATAATAAATTTGAAGCCTTGTTTGACACATAAATACAAGTGTCGAATTTTTATTTTGTCCCACATCCGTCATGTATCAGATGCACTGTATCTATTTCAGAGTTAAAATTTGTATGTTTTACCTTTTGGTCAATCAAGTTCGGTCCATGTGTATGTAAACATTATCTTAGTAAGTTCTGCTTTTGAAGAACCTTGTATTATTGTAAAATTATATACATAGAGTTTTCTCGAATAATAGGCCCCTTGATCGGGTATTCTTGGCAAGGGCATATTTTTCTGGCAGTCAAAACTAAAAAAAAACAATCTCTTACTTTTAACTCATTACTGCACAATTCATTGTAGGTACGACACAATTTTTAATATCCAGTTCTGGCTCTAAGTACACTCTTACTCTTGAGGATGACATGCAATAATTTGATTCGTTACATTTAAGTAATTCAATAAATTTTTTAATTTTTATTCTTTTAGTATTTTTTACATGGGATACTCTGTCACCGTCCCTTCGATCGGTCGGCATTGTTCCTAATTTATGAAATTTCTTCATTACACCCAAAGCTCGGTGTTGGGAAATACCAAGGATGCCTATGAAGGCCTTTCTACATACGTGTTAAGAGCAGTGTATATCAAATATTTTACACTAACTTCTCTTCCTTTTTTCTCTGTATGTGTACCCACATTATCGGTGTATTAAAGATACTCAACGTTACTGCATTACTGTAATATTTGAGAACAGACAAATAATTTTGAAATTCTTTGTCACTGGTTTGCAATATTTTATTTATTTTTATTTATTTATATACGGCATCCATTTACTTACAATTTTTACAAAGTTACATCTTAAAAACAATATATTATTAAAATAACAATCACAAGTTTTAAAAAGTTACACCTTAACAACAATAAATTATTAAAATAACAAACACCTCAGAATAATACAAACATATAAGAATAATACAGATGTACAACCAACTTATTGTAAGATATTTTTTACTTGTTTTTTAAACAAACTAATTTTGGAGTCAAAAATATCTATTTGTCTTGGCAAGCTATTAGCACTCCGGACCAATCGTGTAGTTGGTTCATTGATACCATAATTAGTGTGGTGAAATGGCACCGAAAAGATTTCTGATTGTTGCTTCTACTAGGAACTTTAAGACTAACAAGCGATAAGAGTTGAGGACAATCTATAAAAGCATTGATAACTTTGTGTAAGAAACATAAATCTAACAATGTCCTCCTTGACTTAAGTGTTGGCAAGTTAAGACTATCTCTTACCCACTGATAGTCGTATTCCTCTCTCCTGTATCCACTCTTATAGGCTGCTACCCTCAAAAATTTATTCTGGACTCTTTCAATCTGTTGAATGTAACAGTGGTATGATGGGGACCATACAACTGATCCAAACTCAAGAATGGGCCTAACGAGACCACAATAAAGTCTTCTAAATGTAAATAAAGACAGATCCACAGATGTGCCTTGGATAAATCCCAGCACTTTCATCGCTCTTTTTGTTACTTGGTTAATGTGGCGTGAGAATGACAGTTTGGTGTCTAACCAAATTCCCAAATCTAATACTTCATTTTTCGAGGCTAATGGCAAGTTATTTATGTAGTAAACAAATGTAATTGGATTTCTTTGCCTCGAGAATGTCATTTTATGACATTTGTTTATATTGAGTGACATTTTTGTTTAAAGTGCACCAATCATAAAACGATTTAAGATCTTCCTGTAATATAACAACATCATTCCAGGATTGAATTTTTCTAAACAGTTTTACATCGTCAGCAAACATAAGAACACTACAATTTTTGATTTGTTGTACTAAATCAACCAGAAACAAGCAAAACAAAACAGGGCCACAATGGGAGCCTTGTGGCACGCCTGATGGAACTGTTATTTCAATTGAAATATCACTTCCCAAGTTAACTGTCTGCGTACGGCTACTAACAAATTCTGTAATCCACTGAAGAAGGGGATCTAAAATACCCAAAGCTCTTAGTTTTTGTAAGAGGACCCATGGTTTACCCGATCAAATGCTTTGGAAAAGTCAGTATAGATTGAGTCAACCTGGCACCCCTCTTCAAAGCTGTTATATATATGATTGACATACAAAACCAGGTTGGTATCTGTTGAACTCCCTCTCATAAAGCCAAATTGTTCAGGATTAAAAATGCCTCTATAACTCCATGTCAGTTTCTTACTAACCAAACAATCAAGCAACTTGGGCAGCTCCGACTGATTACAGACAGCTCGATAGTTTGATATATCGTTCCTTGCACCCGATTTAAAAATCGGCTTTAAAAAACTTTTCTTCCAGAGACTGGGAAAGCTACCAGTACCAAGTGATCTGTTAAAAATAAACAAAATTGGTTTTGTAAGTACACATATACATTTTTTCAGAAAATAGGCTGGGATTCCATCCGGCCCTGCACATAATCTGTTTTTACAACTTGCAATAGTATCATAGACCTCAGTTGCTGTAAGTATTATAGTACTCAAACAAATAGAACTGTCAAAATTAAAAAAAGGTAAAGTATCTTTTTGTTCATCTGAGTAGACTGATGAGAAATATTCTGCGAACATATTGGCAGAGTCCTTCATATTTAAGCCAACCCTATCCTTATAAACCATTCTGGATGGTATATTATACCCATTTCTTTTGCTTTTAATATAAGACCAAAAATATTTTGGATTATCGGAAATGTTATTTTGTATCCCATCTAAATACTGTTTCTGACAGTCTGCTCTTAAAATTTCACACTGGTTTCTTAAAGCCACAAAACGGTCATAATCATCTTGCCTACCACTAATTTTAAATTGTTTGTGGACCTGTTTTTTACATACAATTAGGTTACGCAGCTCTACGAGAACCAAGAGGGAAAGGTAGAGGTTTTATATTTCGTTAGTGGAACAAAGTATTCTATCAGTGAGTAAATTATATCATAAAAAATGACCACCATACTATCAACTGTACCATTAAGAAACAGTACCTCCCAATTTATACTTGCTAAATAATTATTTATTGAAAAGTAGTCACCATTTTTGAAATCATAAAAGTATTCCTCGTAATTCATAACATCAAAATTTTCGTCACACACTAGTTCAAAACTGATAGCTGTATGATTTAAACTATTCTCAAAAATTTTATCTACTGCTGGAGTAACATGAATAGATTCCAAATTGGATAATACCAATAGATTCCAATATTACATTGGAGATTATCGGTCGTGTCATAAAAACTGTACTATAAACAATTTTCAATCGGAATATAATTAATATTTTCCTCAAATTATTAGTGATTATTAAGTGTTTTTATTGTTGCAGGGCCCCGATGGAAAGTTTGGTATTCCTCAAGCTGCTATTGACTCAGTCAACAAAAATAAAATCGGTCTGAAAGGTCCTCTGATGACCCCCGTAGGAAAAGGACACAGATCTTTAAATCTTGCTCTCAGAAAAGAATTCAATCTTTATGCCAACGTTAGGCCCTGCAGGAGTTTAGAGGGGTACGGCTATTTTATTGACCATAGAAAAATATGTATTCAATTATTATAGATCGATTTGTAATAAGGAAATTTTTATATTTTGACTTTAATTTTAGATATAAAACTTTGTATGACCATGTAGATGTTGTGACCATTCGTGAAAACACTGAAGGTGAATATTCTGGTATTGAACACGAAATTGTTGACGGAGTCGTACAGAGTATCAAATTGATAACAGAGGACGCCTCCAGAAGGGTAGCTGAATTCGCTTTCCAATATGCCAAAGAAAATAATAGAAAGAAAGTTACTGCAGTACACAAAGCTAACATTATGTAAGTCTTACGAGAATATTATTACACTTAATATTTTCAAATGCTTATTCATTATTAACAAATCTTCTGACATGCGCAGCAGATGATATATTAAGTGCTATACTCATCAGTATTTTATTAAATTTCCTGAAGTAACAAAACTGCTATTTATCGAGAGTACTTTGGAAAGTTTCGAACCTAGTTTTGAGGTTCGAATCGGTTTGTAAATGCCCCTTTGTCCGCTTCTTGTCGATCGACGATGATAAATATAATAAAAGGTTGAAGCTGTGGAGTAAAGTTGATTTTATTGACACCTTCTGGTAATTACACAATATGATGTTCGTTAGGTAACTACTTGTAATAAACTGTACTCAAATGAGCTCAAATCCCCAATTTATAATTTCACAAATAATTCATACCTCAGCACAGAGGTTATTGCTTTCTATCATACCATACCAACAAACTTTGAACTATTTGCTTACATTACATTTTAATCTAGGCCTTAATTGCGACACTTAGGAAGTTCAATTAGAAAATATATTTTATTCGACAATTTATTTAGTTGTAGGTAAATGAACTAATTATTAACATATTATACGATATGGTTTTACAATGACTCACTTATACACGGTGAAACTATAAAAGATTAAGAAGTTAAGAATAATGTGAGATTACAAATTAAGAGGTTAATTTGTGATTGAACAACTTCATTTTTGATAAAAATAAGACAGAAGAGCGTACCTTTTTTTATTTACAATATCTATAGTTATTGTATTAACGTGTCTCATTAAAAAAGCTTCAAGATTTAATAAACAACGGAAATGAATGTTACTTCTTTATCTTTTCTACATTACAGGCATAACCTTAGATACATCAATGTTTAAAATTATGTAGACATTACTTGTGTTCCAAATTTGAACTATGTATTTATCATATTACTTTTTTTATTTTTAGGCGTATGTCTGACGGTCTTTTCTTGAGATGCTGTAGAGAAATGGCGAAAAAACATCCCGAAGTTAAGTTTGAAGAGAAATATTTGGACACAGTATGTTTGAATATGGTGCAAGATCCCACTCAATATGATGTATTGGTAATGCCTAATCTATATGGTGATATCTTGTCTGATATGTGTGCAGGTCTCGTTGGAGGATTAGGTCTTACTCCTTCTGGTAACATCGGCCTTAACGGTGCTCTATTTGAGTCGGTAAGATTTAGATTGTTTTGTAAAAATAATGTAATCATATGTCAACTCATTTTTGTACGTGTACCATCCACAAACATAGGTATACTGCCCAGCCAACCAAAAGTGTCGTAACAATAGGATTTTGAGAAAACTCGAGAAAGTTTAGAAGGATGCTGTAATTTTGAAAATGAAGATATTTTAGTTATCAATTGTTTATTCTTTAATTTTTATTCTATAATTCTAATTTTTAATGCAAAAAAAATGAAAATATAAAATGATATTGTACATACGGTACTCTTCCTTAGTAATATGAATGGGTATATTTGCTGTATGTACTGCTTTACAGTTTTAATAGTTTGTTGAAAGAACACAGCATTTATTCTAAAAAATATAACCAATACTTTAACATAAGTGGAAGGAATGTCACAATAGGTTCAAGGTTCTTTTGGCTGAGATGTTTGTAGGCATGTCTTTCCAAAATTGTTTTCGATTTTCTGGCAGTACTTCGTTAAATGACTGATGGATATTTTTCTTCTTATCTTCTGGAAATCCACATGGTGCAATATGATGACTGGGCTGTTTAATCCCATTGATTTTTTTTGTTAAAAGTCCAGTTGAAACCTTTTTCTTTTCTTTGTGACGGTTTAATTGATTTTCTACGATGATATTGTCAATATGTTGGTCTGCATTGTCATTACAATATACATTCGTTTGTTTACTATTTTTATTTGCAGTTATCAAAAAATCAACACTAGCAGCTGGAACACCTAAATCTTCTTCCAAGTTTATATTATCATTGTTTGGTTGGACCATATTTGTAAATAGATTTTCAAATAGTACTTCAGGTACATCTATAACTTGTAGGTTAGTATGTGATTCTAAATATACAAATTTATCAGCATCAAATTCTACCAGTGGACGTGATATCAGTGCATTTTCGCTAGAGTCATAAACTAATATATTATGGTTGTGTGTTTCCTGTTGAGTTATATTGTCAGGTAATCTCACATTTCCAACATCATCTGACAACGTTATAGAGTAGCTAGATGGTTGAGGTGCTTCATTAGCTTCTAATAAATCACTGGAATGACATGTTGTAGGTAAAATTAGTTCTGATTTCTCATCTTGTACAACTGTTGTGTCAGTCTTGGTGCTTTTTAGAGCCAAGTTTATAATAAGTTCAGAACGAATTGAGACTGTATTAAACTTTGAAGCACTCATGTTCCAAAACAATAATTAACTAATTGTAATTTTTATACAACATAACCTCACAATTTACGGTGAACATAAATACAATGCAGTAAGTACATCAGCTGTTTAAATAACCACTAAGAACGCCTGCAGTAAGTACAGAGTACTAAGCCTAAATGCAGTAAGTACATTAGCTGTTTAAATAACCACTAAGCAAGACTGCAGTAAATACAGTGTACTAAGCATAAATGCAGTATGCACAAAGAAGTTAGTGCATTCTTGGATAGTCTATTGTATTTACAGCAGTCTTGCTTATTATTTTAAAATTTTCGATACATTTACTGCAAAAAAATGTATTATAACTCGATCACTGTTAGAGTATAATTTTGAGTAGCTCATTGAGTTCTGTATAGTTGAAAATATAGGAAATCATATAAAACTCAATATTCAATATTTTTGGACTTACGGCACTTTCCTTTAGTTGGGCAGTATATATCCACATTACGTTATCTTATAAACACTTTAAGTACAGTCGCTGCTTATAGTATTAGACTCTCTTAGCAAATTCTGGTTTTCTTTATATATAGTATATCATACATAGTATTAACCTTTTTGTATATTTATTGGACACAAACATTAAAATTGTCACATAATTTTACTACAATACCAATATTTTCTCAATCCACCCTTGGCTTTAAGAAGTGCAGCTATTCTTCTAAGCATGTTATTTATGCCTATTGCTGCTATTTCTTTTACATGGTCATTATGGTTCCAATGAAAAATGATTCTATCAACTGAACCTTGTTTGCTATTACTTGCTCGGCCAAGTTCCTTTTTAGGCACTCCCAGTCATTTTCGATGGGGTTCATGTCTGGTGAGTTCTTGGGCCATGATAATGGAGGGATTCCTTGTCCTATCAAAAAACTTTTAATGCTTTGAATTGTATGGCACGGTGCTCCATCCTGCATAAACTACCAAACAATTCGTACATTGGTAGATCCAATCTTATCTGCAAGACTATTTATAAACTGGTCCTGTCGCATGGAACTGACGTAACAGGACGTTTCTCTTTAAGTTTTTGACTCAATCTTCAAACTGACGATTGAGATACACATTTTCTTGTTATTTCTCTTTGAATGTATTCGGTATTTTCTAATAGAGCAGTAAGAGAATAGATTGGCTCAATAGAAAGATCTTTATATTTACCAATCTAAAAAAAATCCAATCGGAAATTAATCGACTTTTTTTATGATTAGAAATATTCAAAATTGACATTATTATAGAATAATATCAGCACCCATTACTGTAAATTTCACAACAGTTGAATACAAATCACTTATTTAAGTAAAAAACTTAAGTTGGAAAAAGTCCAGTTACAGCACACTCTTAGCGCATTTTATTGCCATCTGTCAAAATTTGACAATTCAATCAAAAATTTTCTCTATTTTTAACTTAATTATGTATCATTAGCATTATTATTCACTAATTGTTATGCAACCTATTTAGCAGCTCTGTGTCATTGTGAAGATACGTTTATGGAGCTTGAAATTAAAAAAAAAACTGAAATTCATAGGGTTAGTCTAATACTTTATGCAGGGGCTGTAGTTTTGTTTTTGTAATTTTTTGTTGCTTTCTTTAGGTGCATGGAACAGCTCCAGACATTGCTGGCCAAGACAAAGCCAACCCCACCGCCCTGCTCCTTTCAGCCGTCATGATGTTGAGGTATATGGGCCTTAATAACCACGCGTCCAAGATCGAAAATGCCTGCTTCGAGACCATCAAGGAAGCCAAATACCTAACAGGCGATTTGGGAGGCAAAGCCAAATGTTCAGAGTTCACAAACAGCATTTGCGAGAAAATAGCATAAGTTCCCAAAGGAAAAACGTCGCAGTAACCCTCGTTAAAGAAGATAGACGTTAGTGTGTTGATTTTAATAATATTTGTACATAATAAGCAAAACATTTTTTTGTAGTAGGCTAGCGAGCGAGGGTGTCTTTTTTGTAACATGCTCAGTATTTATCATCAAAATAAAGTTTCTCATTACGTTTAGGCCCTACCTAGTATTTCTTTATTACTGTGAAACTAGAAGTTACCCCATGGATATTTTTTATATTCAATAGGATGTATTTTTATTTATTTTTGCGTCCGTTGTAAACATATTTATATAATATTTATTTAAAACATTTCGTTGCTGAATTAAAGATTTACCTGTTCATTGAATAGTTTCTTTAACCTCCCGAACATTAGGAAAAGCAGTAGATAAAAAATTGCTTACTATAATTAACGACATATTAAAATCAATACTTCTACCACAGATCCCACAAGGACAATGTTGATTTGTCCCTGGAAGAGGCACACGAGAACAAATTCTCAATCTCAGACAAATTATAGAAAAATCCACAGAATTTAATCTAGAAACATATTTGTGTTTCGTCGACTACTCGAAAGCGTTCGACAATGTAAAGTGGCTTAAAATGTGGGGAATACTGAGGGAAATGGGTACCCCGAACATCTAATATACCTACTGAAACAACTATATCAACAACACAGCAAACGTAAGAGTCAAGAACACATATACTCAGATAATTTTAAACTAAAAGAGGTGTTCGTCAAGGATGTATTATTTCTCCCACGTTATTTAATATTTATAGCGAACACATCATGCGCATTGTATTCGACCGATAGCAAGGAGGCCGATAAATCAGCAATCTCCGCTATGCTGATGACACTTTAGTATTAGCATTATCAACATATGACCTTGAATAGATCATGAACAGACTAGATACTACTAGTCCTGAATATGGACTTAAAATTGTACTGAAGACCAAGATAATGATAATCGATCGAATTGGAAATAACCAACTGGAAATACGAAACGTAGCGGGGTTTGAAGTGGTAAGCCGTTTCAATTACTTAGGTTCTGTTATCACAAACAATGATGGATGCGAAGAAGAGATACGTCGACGCCTTAAAATGGCCAAATCAGCAACGGTCAAACTTATTAAAATCTGGAAAGATACGGATATAACCAGGAACACGAAACTGCGCCTAGTACGGACGCTTATCTTTCCTATCGCTACCGATGCGTTAGAAACTTGGACCATTAAAAAGTCCTATTCACGACGGCCTTTGAAATTTGGTTATATCGTAGACTTTACTTTTTCGAGTCTGGATCCGACTACAGTTTTTCTGCCCAATATCGGGCTACGTCTACAACCTTTGTATTTGCGAGCCATAAATCATCGAGGGTGCACTGTGATGGGCAAAGTCTGCATACCCCCAGGTGCTCCACGTTCTGCATTTCCCCACATTCACAGAGTGCCTCGCTGTTTGTCTTGATGCCCCATTTAATGAGGTTCTGTTTTACAGGGGCAACACCTGTGTGCATGCGGTTGAGTGTCCGCCAGGTTCTCCAGTCCAGGTTCATTCCATTAGGTCGTTCTGGATGTAGGGGGAACACTTCGGGTGGTTTGACGCTGACATTTCTCATAAACCTTTTCCTTGATTTAAGTCGGCTGATTCCTGGCGGTTCGTCAAACCCGTATGTGCCGTTCATCGAAAGTTTGCCTGAACTTCTCCACATATTGTGAGGCACATCTACGGTCGTCTGGTGATGCGAATCCAGCTACCCGGTACAGTAGGTGTAGAGGGGTAGGCTTTATACAACCGGTAATGATTCTACATGTTTCATTTAACGCCGTGGTGACTTGTTGGGCGTGTCTAGATCTACCTCAGACGGGACAAGCATATTCCCCTGTTGAGAAACATAAGGCCTCAGCTGTTAACTTCAAGACCTGGGGGTTTGCACCCCACTTGCTCCCTACAAGTTTCCGGAGAAGGTGGTGTCTCGTAGAGACCTTTTGTCTTGTGCTCTGACAGTGGAATTTATACGTTCGTGACCGGTCTAGTATCACTCCAAGATATTTGGGCCTATCAGTATGTTTCAAGCGTTGTCCCTCCCAAGAAACATTCAGTTTTACATGCGCCAGTTGGTTGTTGAGATGGAATGCACATACTTGGGTTTTAGTAGGGTTTGGCTTTAATGAGTTTTTTTTGTAGTAAGTTGACATCATGTTTAAAGCATCTGCCATTGCCGACTCTACTTGTGTGAGTATTTTCCCTTTTACGGCTATACCAAGGTCGTCAGCGTAAACAAAACTCTCAGTCTGAGGGTGCATTGGTTGGTCGTTGGTGTAGATGTTAAATAAGAACGGCGCCAGAACGCTTCCTTGAGGTAGGTCATTTTTTTGGGTTCTCCATCTACTCTTCTTTCCATATAGCACAACGTAGAGCGTCTATTACACAACAGTGATCTAATGATATTTACCAGGTCATAGTCAAGCACAGTGTTATAGATCTTAGTTAGCAATGTTCTGTGGTTTATCGTATCATAGGCCGCTGAGAGGTCTATCAAGGCTACTCCTACTATCTCTTTATGCTCAAATCCCTTCTCTATGTATTCTGTTAGGTTCAGCACTTGGCCTGTGCATGATTTACCTGGTCTAAAGCCTGCTTGTTGTGGGATTAGTTTTGCATCTAATGTTTCCTGGATGCGGTTCAAAATGAGGCGTTCATACAATTTATACAAATGGCATAGCAGAGATATCGAACGGTAGCTACTCGGTAGTTCAGGGTCTTTGCCAGGTTTCAGAAGGGCTATTACTTTTGATTTGCGCCACAGTTTTGGAATCTGGTAGGTAGAGTGACAGATGTTAAATAGATCGAGTACCCATTGTCTCGATTTTTGCTCGAGATGTTTTATCTGCTCTGTTAGGATTTCATCCACCCACGTGATTTTTCATTTTTCATACGGTCAATACCATTTTTGAGCTCTTCGATGGTAAATGGGTTTCGTAAGAGAGTTGTTTTCTGGTCTTGAGTTCTTATAATATTTGGCGTTTTGCAACGATTGTTTGTTTTGCCATTCAGAAGCAGTTGGTAGGCTATCTGATTTGGCGTTATTGCACATAGCTCTTTCATCTCTGTGGGTTCACCAAGAGCAAGAAAATAGGAAGGAATTTAAGAAGAATAGCAAAAGAGAAGACACAAAAAGGAAATGAGGTCAAAATGGGATTCCGGAAAATTACAATAGTCAATAAAATTTGTATCAGCTCGACGGTAAATCGATCATATTTTGATCCGAGTGTCTTATCGACAAAAATCAAGATGCGTTTTAAAGGTAAGGAGTGCAGCTTTCTTATGCAATTTTTATATATTGCCGCAAATTATCTCAGTTTTTATAAAGGTGTTAAATAAATAAACGTGGCTCGATATTTGCCATTTTTTACGATTCTCATGAGATCAATATAATGTATTCCTTTTATTGACCGACCACTATGGAGTTTCCAGAACTAGAACCTAGTCTTCATAATCTATAGCATGAAATTTTAGTTTTGAGTTTTGGCAACAAATGTGAGGCATTTGAAATATGCTTAAAAAAACGCTAAATTTAAACTTTCACATTACAAATGATTTAAAACGTTTAAAACTGCTTTCTGTTAAAAATCCACTAGGAAACTAAGTTCCTGTAGCTGGCTGTATACCATATATCACAAAAAATTTATCTCAAATCCTTTATAAAAGGTATATAATAAAATGCCCAAACGGGCTCTCACAAATATGTTACAAAACGTTTTCGGATTGTTAAATCCATCATCAGTGCAAACGAGGTATACATGCTATGAGCCACCAAATATATGGGTGAAAACCCTTTAATTGATATAAATTTACGGTTGTTTTACATTATATGTGGTAACAAATTATGATGTTTAAGTTACCGTTGGAATTGGTAACATGGCGACGTATGACCCTACATAGGTAAAATGGTCCTGAGACGAATTGTCTTCGAGAACCTGTTGATAACAACTGTTGATAACAACTGTTATCAACAGGTTATCAACAGCTTTCTGTTAATTATACTACTTCGTTTTTCAAAAGTACTTAACTTCTACTTTAACTACACCGAAAACCGTCTTCTTGGAGGCATTTCCCTTGACGTGCGATCGTTTGTAATGTAAAAGTTTAAATGCTGCGTTTTTAGTCATATTTCAAATTTTTCATATTTTTTGCCAAACATCAAAATCGAATTTTCATGTTATAGGTTTTGAAGACTGGTCTCAAACAATAGAAATTTTACTACGACTGGTCAATAAAAGTAATAAATTTTATTGATCTCACGAGAATCGCAAAAAATGGCAAAAATCGCGCAAAGTTTATTTAAACAGCTTTATAGAAACTGACTTCATTTGCGGCAAAATACAAATTGCATACATAAGCTACACTCTTCTTTTTTAAAACGCATTTTGATTTTTGTTTAAACGGTACTCAGATCAAAATATATCGATTTTTTACCGTCGAGTAGATACAGATTTTATTTAAAATCGATTTCGCGCGCCGAACTGACATTCAAAATCACCGGTTGCTTCAAGCTTTGTTTCTGAGAGAACCGTTAATTATACGCAAAGAGTGCTAATAAACATTTTTGTTCAAAATTATCCCAGCTACATTTTTTATTTAAAATATTTTTTTTACGTCGAGAAGCCCGGGAATTAAAGTGGTAAATATGGTGCTTATTGGATCTTTTTTGGAATCCCAAAATTGATATTCTTGGCAAAATTCAGCTTGTTGACGACTGGACTATTTATGATCTGAATTTAAAACTTTACTGTCCAGTATAAGTTATTTTAAAAGTTTTTGGAAATTATAATCGACAATATGCATTTGCTCTGCTAATACTTCCACAAAAGGTAACTTCAGATTTCTGGAACATTAAAAAGGATCAGTTAGATTCTAGTGACAGGTGTTCGAAATTAATTTAATTAAATGAGAAGCCTCCAAGAGACTTTACAAGGGCGGTTTTATTTTCAGAAGTTGCAAGATTATTAAAATCTATTCACAACTTAAAGCGTGAGAGGGAGGCATTATTTATTGCGTTTAACTTTTCAGCCGTGAAGATTAGAACCAGTTGGTTATACGTATAAAATGTACTTTGATGGATAAGGACAATAAAATTTATATGGTATTCAAATTGTGGGTAACAGAAACATACTAGGGAT